GACTACGATGCCGGCAAAACGTTTGAAAATGTATCAAGTCCACTGTCAGATGCTGGGAATCATGACAACTGCTATGGCAGACGACTTCGGACAAGGTGCGTTCTACATTGTCTCCCTGAAAACAAGACCAAGTTGCGACAACGAGGTCAACCTACTTTTATCCTCTAAAGTTGATCCCACTTTACATGTCGTCCGTATCCCCCAACTGGATTCTAGTAGTAACATGCGGCTGTTTCACACGCATGAGCATTTCGAAACTCCTAAGGGTGCTGTTGAGACACAGGCAAATTCGAAAACTCAATCAACCAAGAATAAGGAGGGTTACTGAAAAGCAAGGCCAAGTGAAGTTCACCGACATGGCAATGTGCGAATAGTTGACTTTGGAGCACCAAAGTGATTTATGGTGACAGGATTTTTAGCCATAATTTACTTTTTAAACATTTTTAAATGTTATACATTGTTAAATTCGAGAAAATAGGTCAAATTTACTCCATAGACCATCAATAAGCTTGGGATTGCAGAGCCGGAGCAAATTGATTTCGTGATAGATAACCATTTGTAGAAGAGAAAAGATAAAAGTGGTTAAAGAATAGGCAGACTGGATATATTTATATATATATATATTGATTGCACACCAATATAATAACATGTTATCTGTGACTTTGCTCCATGTCATTGTCAAATTTGAATTTCTTTAGAAGATTATGTAGAGTTATCGCTTCAGCTAAAAAAAAGTGTAAAGGATACAAAATTTCCATTATAAATTATTCGAATAAGTTTCTGACAAGCGAGTACACTTTTACTCACAATTCATACGACATTTTAAGATAAAGTTAATCAAACAAGCCAAGAAAACATTGTAGATTACTTTGATAATTCAGAGAGCATTTTCGACTTTTATTACAAATATCTCCTAAACACTGAGCTAAGGCAAAGTTTTGGACCATTTATCGCGAAAAGGATATATCCAGAGCGAAAATTATTTTTACCAATTTCTGGCGAATATGATTAGCGAGAGTATGGGTTGTCATGCCACCATTCTGTCCAAACTTCAATTACAAAAAATGGCATCCATTAAATCAGAGAAGCAATAAAAATTAAATCGTAGATATGAAGACCAAGATGTGGTGTCACTATGAAGAGTGGTGACTCTATGCTTACGAAGGCGCCTTTCACTGGCGGCGCCGACTACGACGCCGGCGAAACGTTTGGGAATGTACCAAGTCAACGGTCCAATGCTGTAAATCGCGAATACTATGACAGGAGACACAGGACTAGGTACGTCCCACAAGGTCTCTCTGTCAATCCGAACAAGTTGCAAAAACAAGGTTGAAGCAGCACAATAAAATCAAAAGTTCATGGGATAATGGTAGTAGACGAACGGATATAATATGTAGCAACTAATACAAAATTATTTTTCTTATATGCTTAAAGAGATTATGTAGCGAATATGCTGCCTTAGCTGCATATGAATGTGTGTGTGAAATGGCAGGAATCGATAAAATAAGAGAAAATTGGATTCTAAACAGAAGGTGCCCATGATCGGAGAGATGAAAATCATAAGTTGTATGAACCTGGGATTACGCTGTCTTGATTGTATATGCACAGGTGAATAGAAAGAAGCAATAAGAGCTCGTCAGTTCATCAAGAAAAAGACCAAGATACGCAAATAATAGCTAGCAATAAATGAAACAGACATTATGGTGGAATGTTCTCAGCTTGTCTAGTCTTGTCCACAAAATAAGCCGGATAAGTCTTGATCATTTTAAGGATAACGCGTATCTCTCGCTATAATGTCTCGTTAACCAATTTCGTTTAAGTTTTAAATTCAGTCGCCGAGTAAGCAATGCTATTTGTATTCTCTTGCTAGTTTTCTATTTCGATAAATATTTATACAGGACTTAGTAAGAGCATTACTCGAATAATTAAACAATTTTATCGTTAATTCTCATCATATTTGAATATTTGTAAATGCTAATGCCTTGAATATCGCTTTAACTATGTTAAAGCTGTGGAACCGCGCTTTAAATTTTAACAACAGTGATATAACGTTTCAAAAGGCTACCTGAACCATCACTAGGCTCTACTTCGATCTGTCTGGCCAGCTCCTCATCTTCCTGAAGGTCCTGCATAAAGTCGGCCAGAGTTTCGGCCTTTTCTTCGAACATAACGAGGTCCGACTTCGCACCGGCAGATCCCTCGGTTCCAGCAGCCCCAACTTGAAGGACCCTATCTGAAGGGTTTTCAGAAGTCGAGATATGGCGGAGACGACGAAGACGCCAGCAAGGATCTGCCGTAGAAGAGTTTTCAGGATTAGTGGATCCTATCCCCCGACGGTCAATTATACGTTTCACCAAGAGTACATCCGGAACTCGCTTCTCTGGGAGACTCTCAAATTCAGTGTGGTTTATATTGCAGTTGCGAAAATCTAATCTACGAAATAAAAGATTAAAACAATGGC